AATTATTTGCAAAATATGTATGAATATACTTATTTTACAATTAAAACATTCTTATTTTTTACAGTAATAGGAATGTATATCCTAATTATACACTTAAAATATACCTCTGAATTTAATAATTCTTAAAACATACTTATTTTGTAAATTACTTTATATATCCTTAAAACATACTTGAATTTGAAATACAAATAATAAAATTATTCTTTTTACATATAAAGAATCGACCAATCCAATTTCACTTCTGACTGATAAATGAATGTGTATGACTAAATAACTAATGATTTATTTGATTAATTACACAGCAAGGGTATTAGCATCAAACAAGGTGATGAAGACCAGGGAGCAAAATCTTATTATAAAATTCCAGGTATTCTGATAAAATTTTAGAATGGGTGTAAGGAAACCCTTTTCCCTATGTCAAAATACTAATGTTTTAATTATTATTAAAAATACAAGTTATCTTTACTAATTATGGAAAGCTTATCCTTTCATACAAAAATGCATAATATAATATTACAATTAAATAAATAAATTATTATCAATCATAATAATATCTTAGAACTTCCCAGAAAGCTACAGCACTTAATTTCTAACTCATATACATAAAGAAAATAATATAAATAATAATATAAATAATAATATAAATAATAATATAAATAATAATACATATGTATAAGTAATATAAATAATAATATAAGTAATATAACAGTAATATAAGTAAAGTTGCACAGTAACATTTTGTTTTAATTTAACATGTTATGCAAAATAAATTTTGTATTACTGTGCCACATTACATATTCGCAATTAAGAACGAAAAAGAACTGTTACATTACTCCCCCATTAAAAATCAATGTCTTCATTGATTTAAAAATTTCTGTAAAATTTCATGGCAATTTGTTAAATTAGACTCAGGTTCCCAAGTTGCATTGTAAAGGGGGTATCCTTTCTATTTCACAAGATAAAATTTCTTTTTATGTTTTGTTTTCATGTCTAGAATACTTTCAACTTCATATTCATCATTTTCATTTTCATTAGGGTCAATATTGATAATGTCATTGAAAACCTGGGACATCCACAACAACTAACAGTAGGAGGGTTACAATTACAATTGGCATTCAATAATGATAAATCAGATCTTTCCAAGAAGATACTGGTAGTACCAGTGTTAGAAGGTAATAATGTATGTGTGTATTTTTATATGTATTTTAGCCTTACTAGCTCCACTAATAAAATATTGTGTGCCTGAATAATGCTATGGATAAGAAATACAAATAATATAAAAAAAAATAACATGAATAAAAATTTGTATAATAATATCAGTGTTGGCATTTGGCCGTTTGGCCGTTTTTGGCTGTGGCCGTTTTGGCCAAAAATCTATAAACACGTGACATTTTTCTTTTGTGTATATATAATATTTTATTTAAAAAATTTTCTTAATACAATATTAATCTTCAATAAAAAATGGTATTTCTAAATTTTCAACAAAAATATCAGTTATTTGCCATTTTGCTACATTGTCTAATGCAGGATGAGTTTGATTCAATAATAACTCATTTATTTCAAATTCATCATCATCACTATCTGTGGAAAGTAAATCATCCACCTCTTCTCGAAGTAACAAATTTTCCCATTCACTAACTAATCTATTCCAATCAGATACATCATTTGTTTCTTCTTCCTCTTCTAAATTGTCTTCACTGTTATTATTTAATTCTTGGATATCTGTGGAACTTTCTTCACTTATTTCTAAATCTATTGGACCAGCAATGTTTTCTGTTGATTTTTGTTTACGAATAGCTTCCACTTCATTAACTTTACATTGATATTTAATTGAAGCATGTAATTTGCTCATATTGATAGCTTTTTTGAACTATATATATTAAATGAAAAATTTATCAGAATAATAAAATTATAAAAATTGTACATATTTATAATTACTTACATCTAATCTATTTCTTCGTTTTGTTTGAAGTGAACCCATACATGACCACAGTCTTTCAACTGATGCAGCATTAACACAGATCCCAAAAACACGTTGAGCAACATATCCAAGTTCTTTTGCTGTTGGAGTAACCCACACCCAAAAATCTAATATGTCTTCATTAAATTGATTTATTGTATTTTCATCAAAAGGATATTGTTTTTTCCTAAATTTTTCATATTCCCGTAAAATTGATTGTGACTTCATATTTGACCAAGCCTCATAATAATATATTAACCATTTACTAAGATAAACATGATTTAAATTTGGGATATTTTCTTTGAATTTTTTCATTTGGTAATTAGGATGTAAGAGCCATGAAAGAAGCAATAATGGTTGTTCCCAATTTTGCCATCTCAACTGAAGACGATTGAGCATTTTTTCTCTGAGCTCTGATTCATCATATTTTTTCCAAAATTCAACAAAATATCCAAAACCACCCAAAACTTCATGCAGCCTTGCTTTATCTCTCTGCAAAATGTCTAATATTATACAATATGGTTTAAGTACCAATACTAGTTTTGAAAGTAAAAGCCACCAGTCTTCATCTAGTAAAATTGAAGATATATTAGCAGGAAGATATAATGGTTCATCAGGTCTACGATATGATGATGATCCTGTGTGGGGTTCATACATTGAACCTAAAGTCTTTATTATTTTATTATTATAAAAATTATTAATTACAATTTAAAATAATTTGTATACATATTTAAAAAATAATAAATACAACATTCACCCTTAATGCTACTTTTGATTTAATCAACATACGAAAACATTCATAATGACTGTTCCAACTAGAGATGTGACATGCGCATGAAAAAAAATGCAATGCGCATTGCATGATGCGCATAATGCGCATGATGCGCATGATTTTTTTTCAAATCATGCAATGTCACATAGACAATTCTATCCAATTATAATTGAACAAATTTTCAAAAAAAAATAGTATAAATTAATTTTATTCATTGAAATGTCAAAATCAAAAATTTGGCTTCATTTTGTCAATTTGGGTAGAACCAATGGTTTTAAACAAAATAGGACCTGGTGCAAGTATTGTGACTATGAATTAAATCATGCAGTTGGAAGGTGTGAACTGCATTTAAAGAAATGTAGTTCTGTACCAGTTTCTGTTCTACAATCATTATTCAGTCCAAAATTTTCTCAAGATACGAATTTGATAGCATCATCATCATCATCATCATCATCATCATCATCATCATCAATTAATACAACTACAGCTAATTCACAAAATCACTCAATAAATAATTTCATTGATAGAATTTCTAAAACAGAGCAAGATGAGTTAGAATTATTATTTGCTAAATCAATATATCAGTGTGGTTTGTTTCTTTCGTTGTCTGAATCAGCACCAATAAAAACTTTGTGGCAAAAAGCTCGTCCTGCATTCAAATTGCCGGAAGAAAAAAACTTTCAAATGAATTGCTTGATCAAGTTTTTATTGAAACAAAAGAAGAAGTTGACAAGTTAATTGAAAGTGCTGAATATATAAGTTGATTTCTGATGGTTGGTATGTAGTTAACATTTTTATATATGCATTCATATATTCTTTTTTTTTCAAATATATATGATTAATTAATTAAATTAATTATAGGACAAGCATCACTCAAGAGCATTGGACAAATTATATCTTAACTACTCCAAAACCTGTTTTTTTAAAAGCCAATACTACTGGCAAAGTTCGTCAAACAGCTGAAAATATTGCTGCAGACATAGAAGATATTATCAAAACTTTAGATATTAACAACTTTCAGCTGTGGTGACCGATAATGCTAGTGTAATGAAAAAAGCATGGGGTATATTAAGTAAAAATTATCCTGGTGTGTTTTTTTTGGGATGCATCTCTCATAATTTAAATCTTTTGATCAATGATATTGTTAAAATATCATGGGTGGATATAGTTGTAAAAGATTCTAAGAAAGTTGTTAAATATTTTAAGGCACATTTAATTCCATCAGCAGTATTTAAGAGACATCAAAAGGCAAATTATCAATATCCAACATCTCTCAAGTTACCTGTAAAAACACATTGGGGGTCCTCTGTTATGTGTTTACAATCAGTTATTAAAAATAAATTAGCTTTAGAACTTACAATTACAGAATTATCATTTGATTCTTCATTTGATTTAGATAGTGAAGTAAAATTAATTATACAAAGTCAGCAATATTGGAACAATATAGTTTCAACTCTTATTTTTTTAAATAAATTATTTGATGGAATAAAATTTTATCAACTAAACTTAGCATATTTTTACAATTGGTATCAAAATCTTTTTAATTCAGATGGTAATATTTTAATTTATTTAAATATGTTCAATTTTTTATCGTAGGTAATAATCTTATTAATAACTTTTTTGATAGATAATTTAAATTACGAAATTCAAGAAATAATTGAAAAACAATGGGAAAAAATATACAATCCTATAATGATGGTAGCTTATTTTCTTAACCCTAAGTTTAAAAATCATGTATTACCAGAAAATTGCATGAATGTAATTTCCGATTTCATCAAAAAATATTATTATAATGATTCTTCAAAAATTTGGGGCCAGTTATTACAATACAAGGCACATTCAGGTCCATTTAATAATTCATTGGCATGGAAGACAGTAGATGACATAGATATAATCACATGGTGGAAAGGTAATTTCTCTTCAGCAGCTCCTGAACTAGTAAAATTTGCTGTTCATATAATTTCAGTTCCTACTTCATCAGCTGCTTCGGAAAGGAATTGGTCCACCTTTTCTTTTATACATGACAAGAAAAGAAATAAATTGACATCTGAATGTGTTTTTAAACTGGTATATATTTATTTCAATCATAAATTAAAATGTCCAAAAAATGATAACAATGATAATATAGATCTTACAATCATTGATGATGATGCAAATGTGGGAGGTGAAAGTGATAAAAGTGATGATGATGATGAAAGTGAAGGTGTTGATGAAGATGAAACAATTAGAATAGAAGATAGTGAAGAGTGGTATTGAAATATATTTAGTTTTCTTTTTTTTAATGGAATTTAAAAAAAAAAATTTTTATTTTTAATATACATAAATAAAAATTTTTTTTAAAAAAAAATTGCATTGCATAAAATGCGCACAATGCGCATGAAATTTTGGAATTTCATGCAATTTCCCATCTCTAGGAATTAATGTTAGAAATTTCTTATCATCTGGAGTATTATCATTCGGTAAGCTGTTCCAAGCAAGTCGCGCATTTGATGGCTCTCTTTCCTTAAAGTTCCTGAATGCCTGTTGAATAATCCTTGCATATCCCGTTTGTAACAAATTACTCCGAAGTCATGTGTAACATCGGGTGGTACATAAATATTTACATTAGAAACGTGACACATTTATTATTATTATTTGTATCAATTATTTCATGTCTTTAATTATATTTATTATTATTATCTATGTCCACAAAATCTTCCGGATAGATTGATAAGAATCTTATGATTAT